AAATCAAGATTGATGAATGCTAGTAGTAACAGCAACCAAACAGCGCCCAAAATCTCTAACCTTTAACAATGACCTTACTTTCAGTTGATCGGTGAAAATGGTTTCATTTTCATTATACTCTGTATTTTCTTTTCTTTTTCGCAGCTTCTTGTGAGAAAGAGACAATTGTCCTTCTAATAAATTCCCGTCCTCCTCCCTGCCTCATTCGTTCCTGGGTTCCAACAATAAAGATGATTCATTAATCAAAAGACAAATACTATAATGAAACATCATCACTCAATAATAAATTTGTAAAGCAACTACTAATTATTGAAATAACTTGACCCTCTGAAGTCTGGAATATGAATAACATGTGATCCATGGGTAATGAAACACTAAAGTTTCTTTTTGTAGTACAGGTGGACAGTTTAAGCAAGTGATTTACTCTCAGGTTAAACACTGGTTAGTCACAACATTGAATAAATCAAAATTAGATAATCTCTAAAATAAGACAAGTAAATAAAATCTAGAGCACTTTTCCCAACCAAAAACGAGATTAGATCCACCAAGATCTACTAAAAGGACGTAATATATTCTATAAATAAAAGGAAAAAAATGAATCCGCATGTGACCAAATTCAGGTAAGGTTACCACACAACACCCGGAAAGTGTAAATGCACACAAATCTCTAGCACAACTGAACCAATGTTAACAAAGAATTTAAATAAGGAGTATTTCAAAAGGGGTTCACATAAATTATCTTTAATCAGGTGCTGGTACATTGGGAGTCCTTCTATTTTCTTCAACTATAGGATTAATAGGAAAGTCTTTTTATATGAACCCCCTGCACAAAGATAGTTGCAAAGCATAAGCATGCCTACATTTCATATCCTGTCAAGAGATATGTGTCTTTAAAACTTAAACATGTCTGCATGCGTTCTAAATCTAAATATAACTGCTTGTTAATAAAAACATTGAAACAACAACATGCCCCTATGTTTAATACCCTATTTTCAAATGTAATTCAGTCTAAGCTCACTTAATGAAACTTTTTGTATCCCATTTTTGAAATACTGTTTAATTCAGCTTTGACGAAGCTCAATTGGAGCTGCCCCAATCGTAAAAGTTTGATACAATTGAGCTTCAAAGAGATCAATAATATTAGTTAACCAAATATGATAATAGTTATGTGTATGAGCTTGTAAAAAGCTCCATTTTCTTGTTGTGAAAAGATTGCAAAAGTCATTCCCATAGCAGCCCCCGCAATGAACACATTAAGGAAGCAGGGAATTTGAAATGTCTTGCTAAGGTCAAGGACTCAAGGTCTTAAACGCATGTTCTAAAAGGAAAATATTATAAAATACTCCGTAATATACTACTATTATGTACACATTTACCAAGGTTAGCAGCCCCATGGCTAATTGTTTCTTCAATTACGATTAAATTAAAATGAGGTAACTTGGGTAAGCAATATGCAATGTTACTGCCAACCTGCATTTTTTCTTACTGAAAAGTATAGTGGTAGCCACAGGGCCGTTCCTGTCCATTTTCGGGCCTATGGGCGAGATATTATCTTGGTCCTATGTTTAATACACAAAGTAATCTCTCAATATTGATCAACGAAACATGACCCACCACTTGTTTATTCTCTTCACCTAAATTACATTTATGTGGCTCAATTTCAATATTTGCGGCTTCTGCACTTATATCACTATATCCAAGCATGTTATGGTTTTCATTCGCAAAAGAATTTAGCGGCGCTTCAACTTGAGAAGAATTTTCGGAAATCAATTTATTAACAAAACACAAAATTTTCCACCTTCTTACTTAAGGTTGCATTTTCTAATATTTGACTGTTTTTCTCTTTTTCCCAACCAGATTCACCCATTTTATCAAGCACCTTCACAATAGTGAAACTAAATAAAGGAATTCCATTTCAAAACTGCACACTACCACACAAAAATGCATCATATAAATCATTAATCATAATTCATAAATCAAAAGAACATTTAGTGGATTTATTATTCATAGCTAGTAGATTAAGAATAATTTACTAGCCGATGTCGGATTGTTTGAAGCCTTGTCAGAAGAACGTGTTCTAGTCGCCGGCTGTTGTTTGGGCTCCTCACCGTTGTCCGCTTTGGCTAATGGCTATTTGCATGCTTGTGGCGCTCTCTAATGTCTAGTCTTGTGTAGAGGGTCAAAACCTTATTAAACCTTAACCCTTTAGTTCCTTAGATAATTGAGTTTAATTGAAACTTGGAAACCACTGTCCAGCGAATTAATTAGGTTAGTGGGATGGGGTGGTTTATGAATTGGGAGTTTGGGAGACACATGGGCTGTATAAAGAGTTAGAGACAATAAATATTTTGGTAATTTTGTTATTAAAAGAATTATAAATCATAGAGATGTGAAGAGACTTAATTATTCAAAGAGACCGGCCACGTGCCTTTTAACATTTGTTTTAAAGATTTTAAATTTTCAACAAAATTAAACCTTATGCCTAATTACTTGGAGCTTAAATACAAAAAAGAAGTCTACTCACACTACATATAAAGACAAAATTTTGGGCCTATTTTTCCCTTCTATTTTTTCGGGCCTAAGGCGGTCGCCCCTGTTGCACCCCCCTAGGACTGGCCCTGGGTAGCCATCAAGTATGAAATGGGATTCCTCCCCATTTCTTAAACTCTAAATTTAACATACTGTATATGGATTTTTTACATGCTAGCAACTACATAGTTAGCAAATGAAATAAAAAAACAGCCTCCTACTCAGGGGCGGAGCCAAGGGGGGGTCAGGGTGGTCAGCCGACCCCGCTGAAAGTTTGAGAGTATAGAGCTCTGAAATATCTTCGATTTGATATATTATGACCTCCGTGTTAGAACTTTTATTGTGGGTCAAGTTTGTCTGTAATGTCTTGTTTAAATAAAGTAGACTAGTTATACCATTTATGGTATTAGATTAGTATTATTAGGTAATAAATAAGGTAAAGGGAATAAGGCCCAAAAAGGCCTTGGCCCAACTTCCAAGGTTTACCTAAATCGGTAACCTGTACAGCGCCTATAAATATGCGCCTTGTGTACAGGTACCGAGATCAATCAATTAATACACATTAGCCTTACGCTGCCAAAATACTTCTCGATATAATAGAAAGGCGATTTCCAAGTTCTCGACATTGCATAAATCATTCTGGGTAATCGTTCCTCTCTGTTAGGCTTGTCCAACAAAAAAGTCACTCATATACTCCCTTCGTCCCTTAAAACTTTACCATCTTTGAATTTTTGGGTCAACCATGTTCAACTTTGACCAATCATATATTATTATAGAATATTATTTATAATATAAAAATTATATGAAAATGTTCCTTGTTAAAAGTACTTTCACAAAAGTATAAAACTTATCATGCACTTTAATAACATTATACTAATCAAAATCATGATCCAAACTTTACCACTATTGACTTGAAAAGTCAAAGATGACAAAGTTTTAAGGGACGTAAGTAGTACAATATTAATATTACTAAAACATACTACCTCCGGGTTCCGTCCTCTTAATATTGAGACAAAAGTGAGTGGTACGGTTATAGAGAAAAGTGAAAATGTTAGGATTCTATTAAATTGAAAAAGTGAATAATATAAGAATGAATGGTAGTCAATGTTTTTTGTATAAGAATAAATTGATAAAGTATTAAATTGTAATTTGTAAATTTTTTACGTGAGTGTTTTTTGTTAATATGAAACTTTTTTCAATTCATAGTCTAATTTAGATCGACTCTCGTGTATATATTTGCTAATCACAAAAGTGTATTCCCATGTTGCATTTATGTTTTAGGTCATTTGATGAGTGAAGATTACAACTTATTATATAAATCGTGACTTCATTTATATGATTTTGTTGTCATTAGTGATTTTAACTACATCTGTTCCTTTTTAATTAGTCATTTTGACATTTCCATTCAAAGATGATACACTTTATTTGATCCATTATTTTAACTAATATATTTATATGAAACTCAATAAATCTATACTTTTATGATAGTACTTTTCACAAAGAATATTTCCATATCATTTTCATATTATCAATATTAACGTGTATAAATATAAAATTGGTAAAAGTTTAACTTCTTTGACTTGAAAAGTCAAATTTTGCTAAACAAAAAGGGATGGAGGGTGCATTACATAAAACCATGATAGTGCTATTAAGTCATGCAAAGCATTATCATTGGGCATCTTCCTATCGCGCAACGCGCGTAGAACAACTAGTAATTGTATAAAGAAATCATGTACGTGTCCATATCACATTAACATTCATTACTGTGCACGAACATGTATTATACTACTACTAGTACTAATATCGTTTAATTTATTAGTCCCTAAAAATACTCAGCTGCCTCCATATGCATTTACTTTTTTCATACTAAAAAACAATTACATATTTCAATTTGATTACTTTTAGTCTCTATTTAATACATACATAGTATTCTCTCCGTCCCGTTATGATGGTCCCATAAATCATTTTTCTTTTCGGTCTCTCCCAATAAGATTGTCTCATGCCAAATTTGATAAAATTTGTGTAGTTCTATATCATTTTTGCTTTATTCGTACTTTACCAATTCATCAATATCAACCACATAAAAACTTTTTTTAATAACTGTGTCATCTTCTCATATCCCAATAATAGTGGCAAGTAGTATATATTTTCTACTCCCTCCGTCCCAAATTGTTTTGCAAAGTCAACATTTTTTGGTCAACCAATAATAAAAGTCAAACCTCCCTATCGATAATTAACTCAATTTTTAATAATTAAAATTTATATATTCACAAACTACATTAAATACTCTTCAAAGTTGCAAACTCCAAATTATAATATAATTAAAAATTGACATCCTAATCAATCAAATAAAATGAAACTGTTTGACCAAGAAAAGTCAAATTAATCAATTTAGGAGAGAGGTAGTATTATTTCCTATGTTAGTAGTATGTATTTTCTAATGAATACGAACTATTATACTTGGTACTTCGTATTTGTCTATAAATATCATCTGTCTCAGCAGTTCCAAAATACGAAGTATAACGAAGAAAGCATGGCCAATACTCCTCCGGCTACTATGGACTCCTCCACCATATCTCCCAACGGCGACGGTATGCCGGCGAACTCACCGAAGGGCGGGCAACAGTGCCTCTGCTCGCCGACGACCCACCAAGGATCTTTCCGGTGTCGGCTTCACCGGTCGGCCACCACTTCATCTTCATGCTTTAAGACCTCAAACTCCATGCCTGCAAAAGCGGCCAACAACGTGGATTTGGGATCTCTCTCCCATGTTAGCTGAATCCATCCGATCCATCGATATATATTGTGGATTCCTCTTCTCTTATCCCATCCCAACTTATATATTCAAGTGTTGAAATTTGTATATGGGTGTACGTAATTTAATGTAATATAAATGTGTTCATATAGCTAGACGACTTCCTTATTATTTGGTTGTTATATTTAGAATTTTTCTTACAGTTATATCATTAATTAATGTATGTAATTGGTTATTAATATTTATTACGTAGTATTAAAATATTAAAACTGTAATTTAACCCAAATTTTATATTTTTTCATAATATAAATTTTAATAAATTATAAAATATAAGTTCCATACAAATAAGAAATAATTACAAATGTAAGTGACTTTAAATGTATTGATTATAATAATAATTTAGTCACTAAATTATGTTGAATTCTTATACATAAGTAACTTTGATAATACATAAAAAAAATCATATTTTTTTAGTAACTAATAATCATGTTTTATATTTTTAAAAAATCATTTTTGTAAATATGTTTATTTCAATAATATTTTTGATAAAACCATCAAATACATACTACATACGGAGTATAATATTTATTAATTATTAATTATTAAAATTAGTAATTAATTATTATGTGAGTTTTATTAATTTTTATTAATGATCAAAATAAATATTTATGTGAGTTTGCACGCTCAAATGTGCATTTTAAGAAACAATTACGAGAAAATAATTGCATTCTCTATCTACCCCTTTTTTTGTGCATGATGATTGCTTTCGGATAAGGTTAAGTGATGGATGTCAATTTGTTGCTTCACAAGATGATCAATTCAGACATTATTAGGATACAAGGATAAGCTTAAAGACATTATTATGACAGTAGAATAAAAAACATATAGTAGTAAAAGATAAAGAGGTCGTTTGGTAAAACTGTTTTTCAGCTTATCAGCTAACCTTTTTACCAAACACGTAACTTTTGTTTTTGCGTACTGAATTGTATAATACTGCGGTAATAAGAAAAAGTAAGATTGAAGTTACTTTTCTAGCTGTATTGGCTGAAGTTACTGTAGATGACCATTTTAGCTATTTAATTTTTACATATAATTTTTTCATTATTTTATTAATGAAATACGGAGTATATTTTAAAAATAATTTTTTCTTAAATCAGCAGAATCAACTAATGCAGCCACTTCAGCCAGAACTTCATATTTCAGCAGAATCAGCTGAATAAGTCGATTTTCGTGTTACCAAACGGGCTCTAGTACGAAGTACATCGTTGGATTTACAAAATATATGGAATTTACAGAGCCATTTGGTAACCCTATTTTTGGCTTATCACGCTTATTATCCAACTTTTTCACCAAACACGTAACTTTCGATCGATTTCGCACACTGAATTGCGTAATAATAAGAAAAAGTAAGGTTGAAGTTACTTTTCTGGTTGTATTGGCTGAAGTTACTCTAGATGATCATTTTAGCTACTGTTACATGTAAGTTTTTCTTTATTTTTTTTATTAATGAATATATTTTAAATATAATTTTTTCATGAATCTACAATGCAGCCAACATTTCATAAATTTCAACAAAAACATCGGATTAGGGATGTAAAAAAAAGCCGACCCGCAATGACTCGCCCCGGCCCAAGACATTTGGGGCGGGTCCGGCCCGCCCCATCTTGCAAATGGGGTGGGTCCGCCCCGCCTTGCCTATTCAATGGGGCGGGTCCGGGTATTAGTATTGACCCGTGCCGCCCCGACCCGACCCGACCCGCTCAATATACACACTTTTTCTTAAATTATACTACAAATATACTTCAACATACATATGTGTGTATACAATACATCATTAATTATTTGATCTTATAATATATTAATGTATATATTAGAGTGAGATGAACGACAGATTATAAATGTCTTCTTTATATATAGCATTTTAATACATATATTTAATTATTAATATAATTAAATAGATTAACTACTCAAGTCTAAGTAATTTTTCCTTAATTTTTAAAATTTTTAGCGTATCATGAATTTGATTTATTATATTAATTTTTAATAATTATTTAAAGATAAACTTTATGTAAATTCAATTGGTAACAACTTTCCACAAATAAAAATACATATACTAGCTAATTAGGTTACGGCGGGGCGGGGCGGGTCATGGGTCAACAAGTTTGGACCCGTGCAGGCCATGAGGCGGGACGGACCTACCCAACCAAGTCACGGGGCGGGTCCGGGTCTTGCAGTACCCACCCCGCCTCGACTTATTGCCATGCCTACATCAGATTCATCCGATTTTGACATTTCATAAATTTCAACAGAATCTCCCTTCCTCTCCCTTTATTTGGACCTCCCGTACTTTCAAAGAGATATTATCTTAAATAGAATTAAATTATCATTTAAATTGCAAAATAAGGGTATAACTGGTGGAGCTTGGGGTTTTTCCAAGTACGTACCTCCTTCAACGGAGGTTCAAGATCAGGGTTACGTTCAGGGTGCTCGTACGTTGTCTCCCTAGTGGCTTTGTCATCGAGTAGGGTTTTCTTCCGCCAGTTGTTTGTGCGACTCTTCTTCTCTAGGTTTCTAGTGCTTTTTAAGGAGGCGTGAGTGCGGCTGCAGTTTTTGGAAACGAATCCAAGGTTCAAGAAACGATAATCATGTCTCCTATGGATGATCTAGAACAGTGTTGTCTCATTCCTGCAATTGAGGAGAAGGTCAAATGGTTTGTTTCTGGCCAATCAACATGGGTAGAGGACGGTGGTGGTAGTGGAGGCAAAACAGGCAATGAGAAGACGGGGAGAGGTGAAGGGCTGAGTCAGGAGAAGACAGATCGGCGGTCCCCCCTGAACCGCCAGCTTGGAGCGATCGAAGTGCTACGGTTTGGAAGATTTATCAGTTATTTAATTTTTTATGTTTTTATTTTCGCGTTATGTTTTATGTGGCTCTATTTTTTGTTGATGTCTTTAGTTTTAGGTATTCCATTATGATTAACAATTCTGCTAGATATTATGTCGTTAGAAGGATCTATATGATCAGTGATTGTGTCACACCCGCTTGGTGGTTAGCGATTTGTATTGCTCTTTCAGGGGTGATCGTCTTTGAGTCTAGCCGTAGAATTGATAGTGCTAGTTGGTTTGGGATAGTTGTTGTTAGGGTTGATCTTTTTGAGTTTATTGTAACGATCTGATTCTTAATGATATTAATATAAGCGGTTTGTTTTGATGATAAAAAGAAAATTGCAAAATAAGGGTGTGTATGTTTTTATTCACTAAAGAGTATTTTTATTCTTGATTTGTGCATCCTAATATATTATCTTCCCCTGATTCCCTTATTTAACCAATGTCAGCCCGTTGATGACGGCCTGGCGGCGACGATATCCGGCATGAGCAATAATAAAGACGACCAACTCTCAATAATTTCATAAGGAGGCGTTTACTTCGCTGCTAAAGTCACATTTAGGTTAATAAGACATGTGAAGTAAACACGCAAACTGCTTAAAAAGCTGCTTACTAACCGAAAGAGGTGCTTAAAGTGTCGTTTACTAAGCTGCACTTTAAGCTTTTTCCGTTTCCGAATTTACTCTTACCCTTACCCTATTGTTAACCTCTACCCATCCCGTACCGCCCCCTACCCTACCTTACCCCAACCCCATCCCTACCCTCCCGACCATAACCCCTTACCCCACCCCCACCCGTACCTTACCTCGACCCTTCCCCTTTACCCCTACCATACCCCGACCACCCGCCCCTACCTCGACCTTGACCCCATCCCCCTTATCCCACCCCCACCTGACCCCCTTACCCTACCCTGCCTTGACCCCACCCCTACCCACGATCATACCCCTTACCCCCCACCCGTCCTACCCCAACCCTACCCCTACCTCGACCCAACCACTACTCCACCCAGCCACTTACCCTACCCTATTACCCCCACCCCCATACCCCCGACCGTACCCCTTTTACCCCTACCTCCACCTCGACCCCATTTTACCCTTACCCTACCCACACCCCACCCCCACTCATACCCTACCTCGACCCTTCCCCTTTATCCCCACCTCCACCCGTACCCCTTACCCAACCCCCTACCTCGACCCAACCCCTACCCCCTTACCCTACCCTATACCCCCTACCCCTTACCCTACCCCTACCTCGACCTGACCACTACCTCCTCCTTCCTACCCCCCACTCCCACGTACCCCGAACCTACCCCTTTACCCCCTGCTATCTGCCCCTACCCCGACCCCTCCCCCAACCCTTACCCTGCCCCTTTACCCCCTACCACCTGCCACTACCTCGACCCAACCCCACCCCCACGAGTAGGGTAAGAGTTGGAAGAAGTACTTTCAATTGTTTTTTGTAAACATGAGCCTCTCGTACTCTCCAGACCGAGTAGTACGTCTTCCATCCTTGTCCAGAAGTCATCACCTCATGATGCCATCGTAGCTTCCCAACTCATGGCGACCTCCTACCTTGGAGGATGTCTGAAAACTTCATCTAAAAAGTTTACTCGGAAGTTTTCAGCTGCAAAAAAGAGAGAAAATGGGCAAAATGATCTTTACGGACAGGCTATTGTGTCTATAGAACGCCGGTGCACGCGTACGGGTGCAAATTTTCGATTTTGAACTACATGCCGAAATCTCAAGTGTGCGAGAACTTGTCTCTTCTCCTTTTCTTTTTACTACTAAGGAAGGAGTGGTCCATATATAGGCTAAAAATAATCCTTAGAGTTGTGTAGAAAATTTAGCAAGCTTACTTCTCCACTTCACTTAAAACCTACACTTGTTCTACTACCCCATTCAAGAGCTAGTTTTGGCTAGGGGTGGGCAAAAATACCGAAAAATCGGTATACTTCACTTACCATATCGAAAAATACCGGAAAATACCGGAATATTGGTATACCGTCATTTTTGGTACGGTATCATACCGTACCAATTTATTTCGGTATGGTAACGGTAAATTAAATGTTTTCAAATACCGCGGTATACCGGTATAATACCGTACCGAGTCTACCGACTCTCTACCCAACAATAACTTTAAATTCTAAAATATTGTAAAAGTCCATTACAATTTTAAATCTCAAACTTAATACTTAATTAGATTGGTTACAAATATCAAAATACAAAAATAAAGATCCAATTTCCCAAACCCACTATAATCTTCTAGGCTTCTACTACGTAACATTCAAATAAACTAACCCTAATGACTAATGAGTAATGTACTAATGCCTAGAAACAAGTTCATCTTGTCCCATGAGCTTGCGAGTTGCAATGGCTGAGCTGGTGACAAGT